CTGAGAGAAGAGAGAGGGAGACGGGAGAGAGAGCGAAAAAGAGAGAGGAGAGAGAGAGACAGAGCGCACGCGAGAGCAGAAAGAAAGAGAGAGAAAGGAGAGAGAAGAGAGCAGAGAAGAGAGAGAGAGAGAGAGAGAGAGAAAAGAGAGATGGAGAGAGAGAGAGCCGAGAGAGCCGAGAGATGATGAGAGAGAGAGATGAAAAGAGAGAGAGAGAGAGAGCTAGCAGAGAGAGAGAGAGAGAGCAGAGGCGAGAGAGAGGATGAGAGAGAAGAGAGAGAGGAGAGAAGAAAAATGAGAGATGGGCAGAGAGAGAGAGCGAGACGAGCGAGAGATGATGAGAGAGCAGAGAAAGAGAGGAGAGAGAGAGAGAGAGAGAGAGAGAGAGAGCAAAGGAGAGAAAGAGTCAGAGAGAGAGCAGAGAGACGAGAGAGAGATATTAAGCAGTGATGAGAGAGAGAGAGAGAGAGCCAGAGTAAGGGCGATGCATGGACAGAGCTGTCAGCATTGACAGCATTGCTAGAACAAGCAGCAGGTGGGTAGTGCATGGGCTAACTGTAGTTATCTACCTCGTATTAAAACAAGCAGCAGGTGGGTAGTGCATGGTATAACTGTAGTTATCTACCTCGTATTAAAACAAGCAGCAGGTGGGTAGTGCATGGTATAACTGTAGTTATCTACCTCGTATTAAAACAAGCAGCAGGTGGGTAGTGCATGGGCTAACTGTAGTTATCTACCTCGTATTAAAACAAGCAGCAGGTGGGTAGTGCATGGGCTAACTGTAGTTATCTACCTCGTATTAAAACAAGCAGCAGGTGGGTAGTGCATGGGCTAAATGTAGTTATCTACCTCGTATTAAAACAGCGTTGTCTCATCGAACTCTTAAAACGGTATTAATTTATTATTATATTAACATCTTTTCTTGTCGAGAATCGGACAAAGCTTTGCTTAATAAGGTGGCGTGGCAAATGTATCTGACTAAATTGAAACGCACTTGTCACTTGTACCCCCCCCCCCCCCACGTCCCTTCCGTTACTCTGTGGTGGGTGGGTGATGGGTGATTAGGGGGGATTGCTAGATCACATGCCCTACACCCAGAGATGTACGTGTTGTAGAAAAAATCACGGAGTCGTGATGTGTCAATCTGTACAACTGCATGCGTCTTCAAGGTCGCGCATCGTTAGGAAATCACGACACCGCAAACTCGTCCTAATTGGTTTCGATTGTGTGTCGATTTCCGGTTTGTGGCGACATTGTGCGAAGCTAGAGCGCCGTGAAGCAATTTAACTTGTTAGAGTCGTGATTTCTCCCGTCACTGCATCGATCATTGTGTGTGTGTGTGTGTGCAGATAGGGGGAACATTTCTTTAAGTGTGTTTAACAATGATGGTGTTGTGTGTATATATACATTGGACGTTTTTGGTTGTCGCTGTCGCACACTGTTCTGCGATTCTTGGCTATTTTAACGTGGTTTGGAGGGTGGTGGGGGTGGGGGTTGTAAGGTGGGTGTTTTCCTTGTTAAAAATCAGTCAAATCTCTATATCATGGTCACTCATGAAAACCCCAAAAGTATCGTTCAGAGACAGATGTCCGAAATTATAAACTGGTCCCATTGTATAACTGCTACCCAAGGGACACACCGAACGTGTCCTTTATAGACAGGTGTCCGTTCTATAGAGGTGTCCTTTATAGACAGGTGTCCGTTCTATAGAGGTGTCCTTTATAGACAGGTGTCCGTTCTATAGAGGTGTCCTTTATAGACAGGTGTCTGTTCTATAGAGGTGTCCTTTATAGACAGGTGTCCGTTCTATAGAGGTGTCCTTTATAGACAGGTGTTAGTTTTATAGAGGTGTCCTTTATA